CCGTTTCCCGTTTCCCGTTCCCCGTTCCCCGTTCCCCGTTCCCCGTTCCCCGTTCCCCGTTCCCCGTTCCCCGTTCCCCGTTCCCCGTTCCCCTTTCCTCGTTCCCCGTTACTAATTTTAGTAACATCCGTAGCTAAAAGTTAAACTTACTTTGTTTCAGTTACTATGCCTTGTATTACTCAAATGTCGGATCAGAATTTTATAGGAAAATTCATTACCTGACTCGTGAATTCCGCGTTAAATTGCACGCGAAAACCGATATCGCACGAATCGCGAAGCGATGAGTGCGATATCGGTTTTCAAGTGCAAATTTAACGCAGAATTCACGAGTCAGGTTATGAATTTTCCTTGAATCGCATCATTGAATAAAAATAGGAAAACAAGAAAACAGCAATAATATTGATTGTTTTCATCCTGAGTGCGCACCTCAGAAAGCCATTTTGAAGTCAACTTGTCAGAACTGTCATTGCGTTAGCAAATCGGTAGCAAGTTCAGTCGTGCACGTTAGAACCTTCGACAGCTTTTATTTAAACCTCGTTTTTACATTCGGTTTCAAACTTTTAAACAAGCTTCACACTATTTAAGGATAATGGTGGTATTTCACTGAGTTTACAAGCCATTATTTTTAACATCTTTTTTCAAATTTCCACTGAATTTGCTTGAGAAGAAAAATAATTTACACCTTTTATCTCTTTGGTGGCAAAACGGAAAGAAATGAAGTGTGAAAGTGAAAGTACTGAAAGTTTAACATTGCGATTAATAAAAGGTAAGTACCTTGAAGTGTAAACACGTGCATTGATATTTTATTCCTTTAAAAGCAAAGAAGTGTTTCATGAAAAGTTCAAAAACTTTGATTTTTTTATTTGCAGAAATTCACCACAGGCAACTGCCATTAGCTGAATCGTTGGGATGAGCATTCAACTGAAAGTTGATGGAAATGTTCACTGGAGAGTTGTTGAACGACGAATTGGTGAACAGTCCACCTCTTGCTGTTAGACATCACTACCGTTATTCATTGTTGTTGACTACTGACGGAAATGCAAGGCTGTTGACATTAATTTCTCGCAAACCTTCAGTGCGTGGACCGCCGCTGGCGTTGGCAGCTGTGACAGTCGTAGTAGTACGACTGAAAACCCAGCCAACTTGCTTGACATCCTTCGTTGTTTTTCTAAAAGATTATGGCTGTGGGTGGATATTGAACCCGGGTTGGCGTGACATGTTAGCACGGATATTGTTTTTTCTGGGCCGGGTTCACAGGATTTTCTCGCTTTCGCGCTGTCGCGAGCGAGAGAGGTTTTTCATGCCTCTCCAAGAATTTATAGTTCAGTTCAAGACAAGGAAGAACCTCAGGCTCACTTTGAGAAACGCTTTTCGTTTCTGGTTCTTTAAAAGCTGACAATGAATTTGAAAACATTTTAAATTGACTCAGAAACCAAACTTTGTAACGATTTGACGATAGTTGTTATGCTTACGTAGAAGCGAAACAACTTCACTTAGCCTCGTTTTCAACTCGCAATTTCACGCCAAATACCTCGCTTCGTTAACCAATCAGAATGTGAGATTGTATTCAATGATGCGATTCTATCTTATAAAATATCTCTTATTTGAGATTCTACCATCATAAGACTACGACTTTGGAGCATAACGATATTTAAAAGCAAAAGATACTACCCGCAGCCAATTCACATTTTCATAATTTTATTTGATAAAATCAAGTTATATTTATTACGTATTTATTAACATGCAACTATAAAATCTTAAACGAAGTAGGGCAAAAGAAAAATTGAAACTTTGTCTGCCGCAACTCTGCCGATTTGTACCTGAATGAATACCTTAATGAATAGACTTAAACAGGTCTGCTTATCACACTTTAACAATCGAAAAAAATACAGGTTACCGCAAGATTGTATTCAAGTTTTATTCTGATTGTTTAATACGAATTCAGGTTATATTTGAAGGTATTTTAAAAAACTAACAAATGGACACCGCTAATTGTATGACGCCAAATACCTTGAACTTGAAAAACTTTGCGAAACAAATTTTCACGCACGATTTCTCATGAAGTGTATTAGCTCTAGTCAACTGCAAAAACATATGCATAGAATGTTGTTCCTTCCGCCCAATAACGTCCAAAACTATATATATTTCTTTATTTTCCGCTAATAACAAGAGGGACTGAATGCGTTAAAGCCAAGCTAGGAAGTCTATAGTAGTGAGTTCTATATACACATAGGCATGATCATACAAATGCTTATCAAACGATATGTTACGATGAGCACGTTCGCTTTGGGAAGAGCAAACGCTCGAAATTTCAGCTTTAGAAACTCTTGACGGTGGCCACTTTACGTAGATGATGATGGAACCAAATACAAGCGAAACAGAATTCATTCTCACTTTGGATAGATGTGAAGGAAAAACCTCAACAGACCTAAGAAATTGAAAAACCTTTGTTCCACACACTTGACAAGAACAGTGACATCTTTTTTTATTTCCTGGCCAAGCTCAAAACTTTTGTCATCCTTGTTAATCTATTTAGTCATCATAAAATATTACGACAGCTAAACTTTTTTTTAAGTTAAGTATCTCATTCGCTCTGATGAAGAGCTAAACCTCGAAATATCAGCTTTACGAACTCTTTACGGTGGCCAATTTACTTCATCAGTTCTGTTGATAAAACCAAATTATCTTGTTACCCCCTCCGACGCAGCACCACAGTTTCTATAGAAACTTACCCTCTTTATTCTTGTTAAGTCTGTCAATGTTCAAAACATTTGAGTGTGTTTCTCTTGTTTTTCTCAATCAATTTGAAATTTGATTTTCTTGGTCAAATGAAGACGAGTCATGGAAATTACTATTTTAAAAGTAAACGGAGCCGAATTTATAAAAGTTGCCGTCGTACCCCGAGTATTTCACAAATTGCGAAGCTCTACGAAAAACATATGATGAATTAAATCCACTCATACTTCCGATTATTAGAAGCGCCAGGGCTTATGAACAAGTTTATAGTATTTATGATAATAAAATGAAAAAATTTCAATCTTATGTACTTTTACTCTATTGTCGTAGGAAAACTCTACTGTTTAACTGAGCTCTAATGGTTGTGGGCGAATGACTTTGAAAGGCTGGCTGACCAAAATAGTCAGTTCTAATGATCAGTTTTCCCGTTCTTCTGTGACTTTGAATTATAAGAATAACATCATTTTTAAGGTTTCCTTATTATCTGATATCATTTTATTGGATTTCTTAAGGATTAGAAACAAGAAAAAGGTCTATTTTTCCTTTCGTGTTTGTCGCTTAGGGGTGCAACACAATAAGCTGCAATTGAGTTGTAATTCATCACTCCGACAAAACTACATTTAGATCAATTCTATCCGGGGCCCTTGGAGTCGTTGAAAACGACTGGAAGATAACAGTAGAAAAGGGCTATTGTGTTGTACACTGTTCCAAATATATGGGTAAAAAACCAAATGTTCTTCCTATTTCATTAGAGTATTTTAATCCTAGCTGTATTAGAAACATGAAAAAAAACAATCGAACGCAAGAATATTAATCAGAATAATTTGAATTCCAGACGTCTTTACGTTCCTCAGTTGTCTGTAATCTCCTTTACTACTCCTTAGGAATGAACAGTTAAAAAAAAATTGAGTCACAAGCCTGCTTGGAAGCTGCTCAGATCACTGGTGAAAAGACTACGACTGTCCGAACTAATTTTAAAGAGTCATGCAGCCCCCCCCCCCAAAAAAGGCGGTCCTTTGAAGGACTGTCAGTCTTTGTCTTCCAGTAAGACAATGTCGTATTGTCTTCCTAACTGTTAGGTTTCAGTGCTGTTTTTAATCCCTTGTGACTTAATTTGTCATATGCAAAACGTTTTAGATATTTCCAACTCAAACAGAACAACTGTACAGTTACTTGATTCTTCGAGACCTTAAAATCACGCGGGAGTCGGTGAGTATTCGCCCGAAGTGGTTTCCGTTTATTTAAAGCTTGATCCGTTATCTTACGAGAGGGACAATCAATCTTTTGAAAACTGAAAGCTCAGAACAAGTTTCTGTATTTCAAATTCGAAATGAAGTAAGTTTGCAAACACAAGAACTGTGTACTTTGCGTCTCCATAAAGTTCGTCTTTTTACACGGACGTTATGTGTTTTCGAGATGATATGATTAGACTGGCCTCGAAGTAGTCAAACATCTCTCTTTCTCTATTTCTCTCTGCATCATTTCACTGGAGCAAATCAATTAAAAAATTAGCATCACCAGATTGTAGTAACGATTGCTGTTGAGCTGAAAAATCCGACATCCTTGAGGTTTGTGATGCGGGGTTGATATACAACAGTTAGTTTTTAAGACTTCGAAATGTGCGCACTGAAATATAATACTGTCATATGAGAATCGAAGGGAATCACCTTTTCATAATCTTTAGCATCATTTTACTAGAGTATAACAAATAAGCATTTCCAGATTATATTGACCACTTGCTTGACAACAGATCTCGCAAATATATGATTATCTGACCTTATGACAAGTGCATCAAAAACTTTTATAAAAAATTTGGTTTCTTAGCTGCAGTGGAATGTTTTGGTTGTAAAATTGAAGTTCTTTCAAAGTAAACTAAGTCATGATTTATCGCGTTGTTTTGACTTTAGGAATGCCACAAAGAAAGAAGAAAAGAAAGGGAAATTCAATGGAGATGAAAAAGAATGGCTTTTCAAGAGACAGAGATTATACACTTAGTATTAAAACTGAAGAATTCGAAAAAGAGGCGGAAGAGGTTGATACAGACATCCCTAAAGATGTAAGGAACACCTTGGATGTGTAACCTTTCATAGCTGTTGAATGATCTATAGATGATTTGGTTTTATCAACCGAATTGATAATGTAAATTGGCCACTGTGAAGAGTTTCAAAACTGATGTTTGGAGCGTTAGCCCTTCGTCAGCATTAGCTCTGAGGTAGGGCTAAAGTTCGAAACGTCAGCCTTGAAACTTGTTCCGGTGGCTATCAAGTCAGTTGATAAAACCAAATTATCTCGCCATAATCCCCCACCGACGGAGCACTACAGTTTCTTTAGAAAATACCCAGGTTGTTTAGCTGAAGCCCGTATAATTATGTAGCTAGTGGTTCAAGAGAGCCTTTTTTGATTCCATTTTCTGTGCAAGGAAGAATATTGAAAGAATGAGATAGAAAAGGCTGATAGAAAGAATTGTAAAGGCCCTCACTGGTTGAGCTAGTATAACGTTGAATAATACCCTGAGATAGCTGATTCAGTGTCCTCGAACTTCGCGGCCTGCAGCTTCATATTCGCGCAGTCTTTCCTCATTAAGTATTATCAGCCTCCTCAAGAGGCATCTTTACCAAAAGAAGCTTCTATACCATTGAATTAGGGGAGGGGTGGGGGTGCAGTTTCTCAGATACAGACGTTGATTCAAAATTATATTGACTCTAGAGAAAACTTCTCCTCTAATTCTCTTCCTGCACGAAACAAATATTAATTTTTGCATCTGTAGAAAGATTCAAGGGAAAAACAACTTCAACAAGCTGCGATATCGGGGGACATTGAAGTCGTAGAAGATTTGATGTCAAAAGGAATAGGTGAGTCAAATAAAACCTGCTGATGCACACTTTAAACAGAGGATATTTTACATGAATTTGCTTTGCAGCTCCTTTTTACTCGTAAATGTCAATGCAATAAGTGTCTCTGTGGAAACAGATTTCACTCACTGGATCCTTCCGTAGCTGGCTCCTCGACAATTGACTAAGTTTGGTAAAAAAAAACTTTAACCAGGACGTTTTCACAAATTGGCAGCTTCATCAGACAAAAATGCGAATTCCGTCACTCTTGGGTGCAACATTTATAGAAAGATCTTTATGTTATATAGCTGTGATCATGAGTGCTAAATAGGTGTGAGAGTATTTTTTTCCCATTTTTAAGCATGCTCTGAGAGGCTTCGCGCTTTGTCCATGACAATACAATTTAGTGTTCCTTTCTCAGAAGTCTCTGACCAAGATATTCGGATAATCATCCAGGCTTAATCCTCACACTCTTTCTCACATTCACCTAAGAGTTAACTCAAGAGATCCTTGGACTATAAAATAGCCTTAGATGAAACATGACCCATTTAGACACGACTAGAGTGTAAAAATTACCTATACGTAAAAAGTAGATAATATATTTCAAAGGAAAAGATATTGTGATTCTCTTACAGAACTGTCTATAACTGATGAGTTTGGCCGCACTCCACTGCATAACGCCATACTAGGCAATCAGCTGCATATCGTGGAGATTTTACTCGCTAAAGGTGCAAGTGTCCGAGTGCAGGATGAAAGAGGTGACACGTCTATTCACACGGCTGTAAGGACTGGTGACGAGAAAATATTAAAGGTACGTTAATAAATGAGCATTGAAACAACAGGCAAGATAGGCGTCTCCTTCTATGGTCCTGTGGTGCGTATCACGTGCCAGAGCTTTGATGTCAGAAAACCATCAAGTTGTAGGAGATTATGGATCCGATTACTTGAAGGGCACCACTCCTAGTCGTCGTAAATAACTTTAGTATCTTTGTTTATTTCATAAAAAAGGATAACGAAAAAGAAAGATACCGGATGACTTTGATCCGACGCTGCATGTCATGAAAAATGATAGAATATTTTTTTCAAACTTATAATGTGTTTCTAGAGATTGTTGCAAAATCCTGAATGTAATGTTAACGCAACTGGTCGCCGTAATGTCACACCGCTTCACCTGGCCGCTGGAATGGATCGTGTGAACGTCTGCAAGCTGCTGGTCAGTTACTAAAAAATGAAATTCGTTACTGCCAAACGAGTAAGCTTTCCCAAAAATATTATTGAAAGGGTTATACGTATTTATCTGCAAATATCATGCATTACACACAACCCAGACTATGCAAGTGACACATTTTTCAGCTGCCGAGTTTATTTGAAATTACCGGACACATAATTTTCAATCAGAATACTTTTGAAATCAGTAATTTCTTGTTTCATGTTTGTTTTCTTTCATTTTTTTTTTCAGTTTTTGTTCGATGTAAAAAAACCAACCACTTCAAGCATTAAAATCAAAGAACATATACCTCTTCTTCCTTTCAAAAACTAACTGCCGGCGAAATCTTACCTAAATCTAAGTCTAACGAAACGACGTTCCATAACATAATATTGCTCTTCTTAATAATGATACATTGCCTACCAAGTTCCATTAATTGCTTTTTCTAACAGCTCACAGTCAGTAACTCTGATCAAAAGACTCTTTCTCCGGGCAACAAGCTTTTTCAAGTTTTTCCTTGCGAAACGCACCGTATGACAAGAAAATTGCCACAGATTTTCTTATAAAAGTCAATCAGGCACATTAGGTTGTATTAATAAATCAACTGAATTCTTCTAGATTGAACATCAAGCTGTGATAAACAGTAAGGATGACGATCAAATGACACCTCTGGGTCATGCCGTGGAGAGAGGAGCGAAAGAAGCTGTCAGCTATTTGTTTTATTATGGTGAATATGTCTAAGAAGGTCCTTCTCAATGAAGTTAAACGTCAGCCGTAAAGCTTCCAAAAAAGTTAACTCTTAGCCGTGAAAATTGAAAGATTTTAACCATTGGTTGTAAAAAAAAGTTAACCGTAAAAAGATTTTCTGGTGACAGCAGTGAAAATGTACTAGCCGTTAGCCGTCAATAAGCCAAAGTTATAACCTTAAGTCATAAAAGCAACTGAATAACCACATTGAGACCCTCGACTAATCGTGAATGAGCTAAGAAACATCTATTTCATCGGAAAGGAAATGTGCAAATTTAACTAATGCCAGCGGTGGACACCTATTTCTTCAAAATTAATATTCAGTTGCTTTTCATAGCTGTGTAAAGATAGAGAAAAAGTATCATTTGCGTTGCCAGCATTGTCCTTCAGATGGATGAGATTTTGAAGAAAGTCTCTTCCCCTGGATGAATTTCTAGTTCATCAAAGGTTACCCTACAATGATCATCGTACATATCGACATATTTCCAGCTTACTCACCTTATAGCACACCTTAATGAAGATCAGGACTTTGTCACGCCTTAAAACACGTCCAACATAATAAGCTCACTCACGACTAAAGCCCAGACCTTCATTCTGGTGCCTAGACGATCCATTCTGTGCAAAACGCTTCCCATTCCAAGTTAAGTTCATCTCTGAGTCGGATCAAAACATTGTTTTAATCATTCATTGGTCATTGATCATGGAAAAATACATGATCTCATCAAAGGTTCTCTGTATAATTTAAGCTAAATGCATCGTTCTAACATCCCCCTATTAAATTTTGTATCTTCCTTAATGGTTGAAATCTAATTCAATATTTTTGCGCGTGGGCAACATCTATAGTGAGCATGTTTTTTTCCTCATTCTAGCCCGCTCCCAAAAGTTCCATTTGGATTCATTTCTTTACAAGGCTGATTTGGATGGCTCTTCCCTTCTACATATGGCAGTCGATGGTAGAAATGAAAAGGTAAATTACATTCCGTGTGTAAACGTCTTCAAGAACGACAGAACGATAAATCAAAATTATAATGTACATGCACCACAAACCTTCGCTTTTATAAGGAGGAAATACCTCGACGTCATTAACGGGTGACATCATAGGCGAGTGGAAAGTAACATCGGTTTTGCAATGAGTCTGTTCTGAGTTGCATATGATTGGTGTGATCGGGGAAACGTTGCAAGTATCAACAATCTATAATAGAAATTTGTGTACGTATTTTCTTTCCTGAGTATGTAAACTTCATTACAAAGACGAGTGAAAGCTTTCTTGTAAATGCTCTCTACAACTGTGTTATGCTGCTGCAATTGAAACTGTTAGTCACTGCCGGATCTGAAACCCTTGATTTTTGTTTTCCACAGATTGTAGAACTGTGTCTACTAAACGGGGCCAGAGTGCGATTTCCTAAGGTAAATTGTATAATACTGATCAAGATTTCCTTTACTGACAAGATCGTGTGTTTTGAAAGTAAAAGAAAAACTTGCGAAGATTTATATATCTAAGTCATTTAGGTTAAAGTTTCCTGTGAGTTATGATTTTATCTGAACAAGGTATGATGTGGCGTGAATATGACTACCCTTGTATCGAAAGCACCCAAAATAATTGCAGAGTCTTTACTATGGAATCTATGACCCAGAGCATTTCCCTTCATGATGTTTAAAATGTGTCCCCTTATTTGATTGATGTCATTCAGATTCTTGCAAATTTTACACTGGATTTGTAAAGCCTTCGACCACAGTCGTTGAAAGCTTTTATGTGTTTTCTTTTTTATGGATTTTCATTGTCGTTACTATCGATCATATCATTATGTTACTTTTCTTTTATCGTTTTCCAGACCTCTGATAAGAGTACAGCCTTTCATATGGCATGCGCACAAGGCTCTTTGGAAATTGTCAAACTTTTGGTCAGTTATGACCTTTCAATCGGTCGAACTACGCTACTTGACGCCGAGGGACAGACGCCTCTTCATAGAGCCGCCACTAACAATCACGTGTCTGTAGTTGAATACCTTCTTGATCAGGTAAGAAAGATTTGATGGTTTATATTATATTACTTGTTTTGTTGTTGTTGTTTTTTTTTTTCGGCTGTTGGTTTCCTCATTTTTTACTTTTCCTTTTCCGCTGAACTGGAATATTGATTATTTGCAAATGTTACATATCAATTACTCGTTCATTCTCGTTTGTCTCTCTCGTTTCCTTTCGCAACTCTTCTTTTCCCTGTGTTTCTTTTTATAAAGCAGTAATTTTAGTTTGGTTTTTGTTTCGTTTTGTTGGTTTAGCTTTTTTTAAAATTCTCTCCACACCAAGAGAATGAAACATTTGTCTTGATATCGAAAAGCGTATAAAAATACTTTATATTAATTTGCAAATATTATAATAAGAAGAAATCCGTTTCTATATACAGGGCGCCACAAGAGACCCCCCTGACAAGTCACGTAGCACCCCCCTGTTTAAAGCAGCCTCTAAAGGCGCAGTAGATACAGTGCGTTTCCTACTTGAGCGAGGTGCTGACGTCACTGTTAAGACTTTAGAACTGAGAACAGTGATCCATGCAGCTGTTCCTTACCCCAATGTCATGGAGTTGCTGTTAAGGGTTTGTTATGAATTCTTAGTTGCTAAATCATAGCGTTTACGAATCATGTTTAAAGCGAAAAGAATCGTCACTTGTGTAATGTTAGTTTGTCCCTTTTTTTCTACAATTGTGGTGTGACGAACATGAAAATGGAAAATTTAGACGATTCAAAGATTCATGCAAAAGTTTCAGTTTTTTGTTTTTGATGTTGCTGCGTTGTTTCCAGCACAAACGACCATATCTCTATATTTTTCTGTTTACGTTCGCCATAAACGTTTAACCCAGGTGTAAGCTAGAGACCTCTTACGATACTCAGGACGAATCCGTTACTCGTAATAATTGTTGGTTGTATCGAATGCAGGTGCCTTCCTCAGCCTATCTCATTACAGATAAGGATTACAAGAGCCTCACACCAGCTCACTACGCGGCTGCAAAGGGACAATCCCAGGTAAGAATTCCACATACAATGAGGATACCCGGACCAGCTTTCGCTGGCGCCTTGTAAAGATTATAGTGACCCTACCAGAAGTTTTCCAAAAGTTTCTCGAACCCACTGAACGCCATTTTGGAAATTGCCCAAACTGCAAACGCTTGTACTACTTCAGGCAACGCTGAATCTTTGCATAAAATCATCTCGGGCTTATACCTTTTATTAACCCACTTTTTTTCTCTTGGGATTAACACTGTTTTTACTTTAGGTCATCACACTCCTCATGGCAACCAACAAAGCTGCCGCTGGTTTGACGTCAAACGAATTGGACACACCTCTGCACATTGCAGCAAAGTAAGGTGCACATGAAATAACGGTGACTTTCACTCAGGTTCGCAGTTTAGGTTGATCATTGACGAAAAAAACCTGCTACTCCTACTTCAGAAGAATCATCATGTATTTGCAGCTTATGAAGAGGCTGCGCATTAAGATCAATTTGGAAGAGTTAGCAGCACTGTTGTACCCTGGAGCAATTGGATGGATTTTTAGATTATTATCATAAAAGTGTCGAGGTAGCAAGTATTTTGGCCAAAAAAAAACAACTGAATCATCTCAGTCAGTTCAAGGAGCAATACAAAAAAAAAAGAAAAAAAGAATAGCAAGAAACCATGAAATAGTGCTACAAACAGATTGTGGTGTAGCTTACAAGCTCACTTGATCAACAAACTTTGCCCCACTGATCTTTACTAGAGGAATGATCCTGACAAAGTTCTTTCACTGCAGATTCGGATGGTTGCCAATAGTGGAGAGTCTCTTGGTTGGACGAAATGTTCGTATGATAAATTTACAAAACAGCAAAGGCATGACTCCTCTCCACCTTGCTTGTTCCAATGGACATGACCTGGTGGTCGAGTACCTCTTGACTAAAGCAGCAACTATAGAGAAGTACGTCAAGTTCTATTGAAGATTTTCTCACCTATCAGTTATTTAGCCTTTGAATTCCTAATGCTAGAAGTGAAAATGGAAGAACAGAATTCTCCTCCGTGTTTGGTTTAGAACTTTTCAGACACTGAATTTTCTTCCGTTGCCTAATGATAATGATCAACATTTTAGTAAGAAAATTCCTAAAACGTAACGTATGTACGTAGTAACCTCGTATACTACCATCAATTGGACTTGGACTAGTTTTAGTTTATAAGCTTAACTCAAGGAGAGTGAAATAAATATAATCTTATTAGACATTTTGTTGTAGAGTATCGCAGAGTATTTTACGAGTTGTGGCGTATTTTGACGTCGTCAAAATACAAAAACCAGTAAAAATACTCAGCCATACTACACAACAAAACGTCTAATAAGTTATTTATTATCCCAAAACGCCAAATTGTTATTTCAATGCGGGCGAATTTCGCGGATATTTATTTACAGGGAGTGCGTGACAGAAGTATGCGAAGTGGAACGGAATTGGCGCGTTGTCTCGTTACTATTTCTATTTTCTTCAATAAATGAAGAAATTTCCTGGTCGTCTAGTTGTTTTTCTTCGTTCGATTCATCTATTAAACTTTTATATTTGCCAGCCATGCCGATTTTTCGTCGTCAGAAATGTGATTCAAATTGTCCGCCATTTTTTTTTTGTAACTTCGATTCTTCGCTTGCGCGATGCGAGAAAACCTGTCTAACCGGTTCTCTAGGGTACAAATGCCACGTGATATTTGTACTCATCTATGGCGTTATTTGTATTCTACGAAGTGTAGTTTGAAAATAAATGGTCATATTTCCAGCTTAAACAAATGAAGAAAACATTGCCATCTTTAAAGGTGTGCGAGCCAATCATACGAAGGGATGACCTCGATGGCAAAAAATATTATTGATCCCAAAATTGTCCAAAATTAGCCAACCGTTTTCATTGGCCACTGCTCTTCCTTTGACACTGTTGGAGACGATGTTACGCCCTTACTGTTATAAAGTTCATGGAAAAATTGACTCGATAGAGGCCATAAAATTGCTGATGACCGAGTAGTTTTCACTAAAGGTAACCAAACATAAAAACACACAGTTCCATAAACATATATAGTGGTTAACAGTTCCAACTGGTTTGAGGTAGTGGTTACTGTGTAAAGAGAAGTCAGAGCAACCAAGAAAAAATCCAGCGAGCAACAGAATGGATGAACTTGAGCCCGGGACTGGAGCCCGGGACAAATAGATCACAAGTTTAGCACACTATAAACCACTACGCCACCCTGCTTTCAGGGAATAAAAGTAGTTTCAAAGTGCAATGAACAGCTCATGAAGCGAAAAAACTCCCAGGGCCTGAGATGAACTATACCAAGCCCTTTACCTCGTGGCTGTTAGGGACTAATTTCAGTTACTCCCTATAGGGACCAATATCAAAAGACAGCCTTGCATTTAGCAGCCTCTCGAGGTTCAAAGAGGTGTATCATGTCCATCGTGGATAAACATCCGGAGTGCCTGAACAATGTGGACGAAGCTAAGGTCAGCCAAGTCCATTTTCATTAATTTCAAATGAAACATTAACTCAAAGACTCCTTTGAAAAGTACTTTGATCGTAAATTATATCCGCTGAAATAATATGTCATGCTTTTTTTTTTTACGTTTTTATGGTAGGTCTTTTTAAATCGATCGTATTAGTGAACTGTATTGGAAGTGCATACGGAAACAATTAGAAGAAAATAATTCTGGCCTTTTTAAGGGAATGAATAGCCTAAGATGCTTTCTTCGTGGCCCGGTAGTCTAACCAGTAACCGGAAAAATTGATTTCAACCCCCTTCGTTTTCCAGAGTTATCATTATTTTCAACAATAGCATTAATCGGGGTTTTACTTTTGAGGATAAGTTCGAAAGGTTCCAAGTAATATGTTCCCAACTTACCTAAATGAATTTAAAACAACCTAACAATCTTTTCTTTCTTTGACAGAATACGGCTTTAAACCTAGCCTCATTTGAAGGTCATGCTGAGATTGTTGTGTACTTATTGTCACTTAAAGATCAAGAAATTTTGATGAACTCTTATAACCAAAATGTACTGGACATCGCACTTAATGAGGAAAAGAAGGATGTTGCCATCGCAATTGCTGAGCATGATAGGTAATAATGTAAACCTAACTCCTAGTATGTGATTTTAGGACACCTGACCCAAGAAACAAGTGCAGTATTTAATTCTGTGAAGAGGACAATCGAAACAGGCTCTCCTAGGAACATTTTGTAAAGTTCTCGATGCCTTCGTTCGTTTATCAAATAATCATTTTTTAAAAAAATTGAAACTTAGTGGCAAAAAACAATTCTCCTATATTTCAAAAGATGGAGGGAGGTTCTAAATTCCTCAGCACCAGGCTCCTTGCTCATGATGCAAACACTCGTTATCAAGATGCCAGAAGTTGCAGAGGTAAGAACATGTGATCAATTTGATAAATCATTAAATGACTTTGTACGTTGTGGTACGTTGCCCAAGAGGTCTTATCTATATGGTACGAGATATGACCGGTGCTTAACTACCTAATGTTTTCAGTTATACTGTTATGGCACTTGTAAAATTCGTAAGGTTACATTTTAAACTCGACAGATCATTTTGGATCAGTGCGTAACGGATGAAGGTGACGAAATGAAATCTAATTTTAAAGTAAGTAAAAAACTGGTTCTAAGAGTAGTTAAGATAAATGTCAAGGTGCAACATCCCCACTGCCCCCTTCTCCCTAACTTGCTAGTGAAAAATGATGATAATAAGAAACCTGGCTTGGTTCCCTATTCTGATGAGCTGTCCGTCTAGGACCCTCTTATCTCTATGATTGATAATCAGGTCATTGGATGTACCTGTATTTTGGTGGGTGAGTATTAGCCCTGAAATCACTTATCAATAAACATAAAATGCTGTTTGAATGCTCATTTGTTTCAGGTATCAACATTTTCCTCTTGAAGCAGCGCATCATTACCTAGAAAGTATCTATGTACTTTCAGTAATGCTTTACTATTGCGACTTTTTTTCCCCAAAGATCAGAAGAGATTTAACAATAATTCAACCAAAGTACGTCCCAAATCCTGAGAAGGACCAGCTGACTGTGCTGAAGGTAAACAAATTTTCTTTCTTCGCGTCGATCCCGCAGTCCTTTTTTGGGAATTCAGCTGCCCTGCTCCCTCGCCATCGCCTCTTTACCTAAATAAATTATTTCTTTCCCATTTTTTGTTTCACCGAAGTCAATTAGCATCTTGGCATGGCTGAAAAATACCCAGTCCTACTTGAAAAGTCCTGAAATTTGAAATGATGGACCTAAATACTGGCTGAATTTTACAATAATAATATCTCTTTTCTTTATGGTAGACTATGGTAAAATATCGCCGTGATAACTGTCTTACTCACAAAGTCGTCTTCAATCTCGTGCATTTAAAGTGGTAGGTATTGAGTTACAGTAACTTTGTTAATTATTTCAATCACGAAACTTTTCCAACTGTCACGTTTAACCACAGAAGTTCACTCTTCTAGTAAATGCATAGTAACGTGATAAAGCTGCGTAATAAGGCTGTGACGACAAAAGCCACGTCGCAATCATATTCCACACTTGTTTCGCTCCTTCTCTCTGTGTCGGAACTAAATAAAGTGTTTAGAAGATAATCAAGAAGTGTTTAGAGATAATAGGTATTACGTTCTAAGGTTCCTTAGAAACAAAAAAGAAGGTTGCTTTTGGGAAGTAATCTCACGGACAAACAATTTATTTCACAAACGAATACACCGAATGCAAATATGGCGTCCAATTTGAGTTGCCATTGTTCTGGACTGACTAGCCTCTCACACATGTAATAATCCTTTTGTATTTCCACGTGAAGACGAGGCTAGTGAGACCAGAACAATGGCAATTCAAATTGGACGCCATATTTGTATTCGGTGTATTTATTGACTTTTAATACCGTAATCTTTTTTTTTAATTTTTATTATGTTATTATTATTATTATTATTATTATTATTATTATTATTTTAGGAAGAAGTTCGGATTCACATCCCTCATTTTCAGCCTGTGTCTCTATCTCATGTACCTACTGCCACTGACTGCCTTGGCTTTGTACTCTCGAGACAACGAAAAGAAGATCTGTGCACCAAACGACTCAGACATTAGAAGGGTAAGTGTTATTTAAAAATCAAAGGTCATGCTGACCCCAAAAGTTGTTCAATGAGTATAGAGAACATTCTTATTGCTCGTACATGTTCAAATATGTGCTCGTCATGGTTTAGAATGGAAATTTTCAACCATTGATAATGGTAGCCATAATTACACGCGTTAGGACGAGTAAATCAGAAAAAAAATTGTTAGCAGAAAGAATCGGTGCTTAAATGCAATGAAACTTCATAAAAGAAACTGGTCACGTTTGTCTCCCATGACACAGCGTTACAAGAAAACTAAATGTTTTATTGTATGGCGTTGAGTCTGTAAATTACGATGTCCACTGTACTTTTTTTCGCAAAGTTAAATAAGTAACACCAATCGCTTTTCGGAGGCCAGGGTTTGATTGAATAAATAGTGTCTTCCTAGCTTAGTAGGTTAACTCGTTGTTATGGCAACTCGTGCGTGTTGTTTTTGTACCTGTTGAAAAATATGATTTAAGAAAAATTCCTCTATTTTCAACAAGCTCCGACTTGACGTACTGAGTGATGTATTTCTGTCGTGAGTCTAGACATATTTGAAACTGACCACCTGTAGCTTTGACACGTCTTCGATCTCTTTAGTCAATGAACCTGTGCCATTTTCGTTTTTTTTTCTTGATTTCTGTTTACTACGAGTAGTACGCGGCAGATTTCACTTTGGGAGATTTCTCCATCTATCCCCTGAATTTTATTACAAATCTAGAACAATTTTTTTCTGGTTTTCGATTGTTTTTTGTTTTACCGAAACCGTTGATGAAGACGAAATAAAGAGTCCCTCATATCTATTATCCTCGTTCTGTGGTATTCACAATCAGTGGTAAGGGTAATGCGTATTTTGATTGGGTTAAGCTTGTGCCATTCCATGACAGAGCCTTACTAGCTTCAAGAAATGCCACAGACTACTTGTCAGCAAATAAGTGATCAACAGAAGATGTTCCGTAACTATCGTATTTTTTCTGCTGAATCTTAAAGGATTATCTTGAGGACATGCCCATCACTCGCTCCAATATGGTAAGTAAGCGCAACCACTTTGATACTTCCACCGTTATTAAATGCTTGAGCTTAGGCAGAATACTTTTGAAAACAATGCATGAGGCTTGAACAGGTGAAACTACAACTCATGTAGAAATTTAATCACGTTTTGCAAAAGTGAACAAAAAGTGTCTAAAGTATTTTTCTACAAATTATAAAATTGATCATATTTCGAACTCCACCACGATGATACTAGATAACGAGACTCTCACCGATTCCAGCTCATTTGCTGCGAAATCATTGTTTTCGTTGTTTGTTTTACTTAGAATATTCATTCAATAATTTTCATTAACTTCTTTTTGTACTCTAGATCATTCAAGTGCTTACCTACGTCGTCCTTGTCATCACACTTGCCCATTTAGCGAGCGAAGTTTTCCAATTAATCAAAAAGGTAAGGAAGTCAAGAGATTGAGAAAAAGAAATCAAAAAAAGAAATCAAAATGAACCAACGAAAATAAAGCAAACATATATTCTGTAACTCCGATATAATAATAAAATATCATAGGAAGTATGCTATACTTGAGATGTATCAAAAGCCTCTACGATTTATCAAATCGAACAGCCAGACGTTCAAATAACATTTTTGGGCTAGACCCTAATTTTATTCAAGATTGATACTCTATGCTATTGGTCCTATTGTTATGGTCATATTACCTTTTCTGATGATAGTCGAAATACTATCCGAGTTGAACTTCTGGTTTTTGTTCCTTTATAAGTTTGACAAGTGGACTACAAATAATTTCTTTTTTAGCGTGCAAACTACTTGGTAAGCTGCTCAAACTATATTGTGCTCACTGGATACATCATCACTATGTTGTATATCCTCCCTCCTAACGACTGCAAATCTGGCTTCCAAATCCAGATCGGAGCCCTTTCTTTGTTCTTTGGTTGGATGAATTTAATCCTCTATTTACGAAGGTAAGTAAAACCGAATTCCAGTTGATACGATCAGTTCTTAGAAATTTCTGGTTTTTCCTCTCATGTTTGATAATCCAATGATTATGTTGTATGGAGCAAGTTGGATCAGAAAAGTTATTGGAGCAGAGCACTTACCTCTAGTCCAAAAATTAATTCCAATTCTAAAACCAAATAACATTCTGAGAAAGTCCATAAACTGATCCCAAAATATCAAATTCCACTTTTCCTTCCCCTCACAGCCTCAAAAAAGTTTACTTATTCCCTTTTTCATATCTTATATAATTATGGGATTTTATAATAATTACTGATTTCTCCGTTGGTAGAGTTTTAGTTATGGTTCGGCCGTAAAATCTCCGTGAACATAAGTTCTCAAACTAACCTAAGTGACATATAGATATTAGTATCCCCAAATTAGTAAGGGATTTTTCCCTAGCTAGACGGCTCTTGATACTTTTAATAAAGTTTTACTACTACTACTCTATATTTAGACTTTCCTTCTTGGGGTCATACGTCATCATGCTGGCCACAATGTTTATCACGTTGTTTAAGGTGAGTCGTGTATTCCTGGCTACTTGACGTAGCGTAGTACAACATCACCAGACAGTTATCACTAGGTCCCGTCTATTTGTCCTCCAATTATTTTTGTCGAAAAGAGAAAAAGGCAGCAAAAAATACCAGCTCAAGAGTTTCACTTTTGTAGTCTTTATTACTTTACATGAAAGAAGAAAACACTTGTCTCCTTGAGTCTAGTGATAGTGACATTAAAAACCTCAACTCAAAATGTAGTCTGGGAAGTATAAAAATGTTAAATGCACTGTCAATTAGCGATACGAAAATTAATGGAAGGGTTATAAAATAAATAAATTCCTTTCTTGCTTGCTGGTATGTCGGCTGATAATTTCCTTAGCTAAGACATTGCCGTCCAAATTTCACATTGGTCCACGAGGCTTCGCTTCTCGGCCAAATGTCTATTTTCTGGACAAAATCCTCATTGAGATGAGTTTTCTTTTATTACCATTTAAACTGATTCTTTTTACGACAAGAAAGGTACTTTGTGTTCCCAACAGGTGTTAATGTTATTCGCTTTGTTCATCTTGGCATTCGGTACAACTTTCTACATGCTGATTGACGAAAACGTGAGTTTATAACTAGTGTTTTTATGTCAATATGTTCGAAGTCTGTGCTTTTGAAGATATTGGGCTTAGTGCTACTGTTAAACTTATCAGGCTATAGAGGGCTTTAAGGCTACTTTTTAAATCTAGCAGCTTTACTCTTAATACAATGAGATGGTTTCCCATTCTCGGTATTGATAAAAAGGTCCAGGATTCTGAAGCAACAGCTCAAGAAGGACTGAGTGGTCCGAGGCCCTAATGGTTTAGGGCGTAGAAATCCAAGCGACGTAATTAACAGTTGGGATATGGAAAAAGAAACAAAGTTCCTTGAGTCTCTAACACTTTACCACTTCACCGGTTGAACCAAACTGTGTTATTTGAGTATACTGAGTATGACAAAATGTACGTTTATTCATTGGCTCATTCTCTACTTCTTTCAGGAATTAGAAATTTCACTGCTGCATTGGCTTCTGACTATCTTTGCCATGACTCTGGGAGAGTTGAATTACGCTGACAACTTCATGCCTTTAGAGTATCCTTTCGCAGAACTGATCAATGTACTCTTCATCCTTTTCGTCCTTGCAATGCCTATCATTCTCATGAATATGCTGGTAAGAGCCGTTGTTCTGCATTTATGTGCATTTCTGTCGACTGAGGAATTAAGCATGTCAGCTTAACAATAAAGCAAACAGTGTAGTCTTTAACAGAGGCACATATCTCTGATTAAGTCGCACTCTCACCGTGTAGTCAGGGGTGCTCTTTCAATAGAACACCCTGACTAAATTTGATTCGCTCTGCACGGGACGTGGGATGAACATGTATGGAACATTTCGTTGCTGGAGTTGTGATGAACAAACACATTCTCACTGACAACTTCAGTTAGTAATACTTTTGAAAATAATACAGATACGCTGAATTACTCTCGGGCGGCATCCACCTCTCGGTACGTTCCCCTTCTAAAATGTAAGATTCCTGGTAAAACCGTCACCAAGCCCTCTTTAATTGTTCTCTCTAGTCACGGGAGTCATTATTTCGATGATGCCAGACACATGATCTTGCGCGTTTTGGTTTGCATCAACTTATCACTTTACGGCAAAGGTAGCGGTACGAAGAAAGCATTATCCACTACACTAAGTATAATTAAGTAATGAGAATTAAGCGGTGGAACTAAAGAATTTCCAATTACGCTAAGTAATTAACCTCTACACTCCTAAAAACATATAATTCACTATTTATAAAATGTTTCGATTTTAATTCAACAAAATATTTACCTCTTTCACAGGTGGGTCTTGCTGTTGGGGACATTGACAACATTCAGAGAAACGCTACAATGGACAGATACGTTATGCAGGCAAGCGATAAAATCGAAACTTTTTAATCAATCATCTTTGATATATCGAGTATTTAATAGTTCTGCAAATGATGAATCTTAACCCTAATTAATAACACCGTCTCTAATGGGATATTTATGACAGAACGGAAAGGAAATTGTTACTTCTTTCGTATTTGTAGTTTGATCTCACTGAAAACAGAAATTTCCAGTGTCTCTACAGGTTTTAGTATAATTTCACAGCTGAGCAAAGAGTTTCCAGCAATCTGATTGGTCGAGCGGCTCCTTATATGACGCTATATAAACCGCTCCACGCGGTTTATATAAAATGTTAAAATAAAATGTTAATAAATGTTACTAAAATGTTATGATTTTAGAAATTTTTCTGTTGTTCAGCTCTGAAATTATACTAAAACAATTATTCGCCTCAGGTTCGGTGAGTACATTGTCGAATAATCTCTACGATATTAGGCGAATAATTTTTAACTATAGATATAATTAACTGAACAGTCTACACAGTAGTCAGCCACTGAACCGTCCCTATTTTTATTTACACTAACAGATCAAAATGTTACTGGAAACTGAAGAACAGCTTCCACGCTGGTTACGCAAACACGTTCAATTCGAAAAATTTGTCGAATTTCCCAACAAAAAGCTTCCTTTGAAAACAAGGGTAATAATTTTGTCTCAAATTCTTGTATTTATTATCTTTCAAATAACTCTTATCTCTCCATTTTCTCAACCCTGATGCAAAGCATAATTTCATGCAGATAAGAAGACTCATAGTCTAACCTTTTCTCATTTTCTTATCTTGTCCATTTTGTTCATTTTATTGCAAAGCTTTATGCTTCAAAGTGTAACCTCAACCCAATCCATCATTTCAGTTGTACAATGCCATATGTGGTTTTGGTCATCCGGGAGGTGATGAGGACAAAAAAGACGAAGAGGAGGTCCCTCATGAAGTCATTGACATTAAGACAAAATTAGAAGAACAGGAAGCGAAGTGAGTTGTCTGTTTTTTTATTTATCTTTTTGTTTGTTTGTTTTCAACGCTCGCATCTTCAAAAATAAAATCTGAATCGACGTATCGGCGAACTCGAAAAACATTGAGTCTTTCATGTAATAATTTTCGATTTTGTCCGAACAGTTCCGCACACTTGAGTTTGGATAGTGCAAAGCGGATAACGAATTCATTTTCAAGGTAAACAAAAAAAAAAAGAGGAAAAGAAGAGGAAAAGAAACAACAATAAGTTACCACTTCTAGAATATCCCGGTCCCATACAGACTTTATCCAGCATTATTCTAAAACATCTATTTGTCTGATGATGTTCACGATAAGTAAGAGTTTAAAAATAACATTTCCTGTGCATTCAAGTGGAAATTTTATACGAAATTTTTTCTCTCTCTTTAGAATCAGTGATATAAGCAACATGCTGAAGAAGCAATCAGAAATGTTAGAAGTCCTGTCTCAGAATTTTAAACAGAAGGAGGGAGAGAACGACGAAGAAGAAAAAAGGGTATCACCATTGAAATCTTTCATGAGACCTTTTTAAAGTTCCTGTTTAACAACTGATGTTCCTTTCTATTTCACGAGGGTTTGAGGGTTTGAACAATACCATAATTTCAACAATACCATAATGACTCGCTGGCGTAGACATCAACACTTACGAAGAATGATCCAATAAATAGGTTAGTGGTTGCGATTGTAAATAACTTGAAAAATGAGGCGACAATTTTCCAAGAAGCACAAACCGTAACACAATCACTCATAATTTCAATTTAGAACGTGTGTAACTCTAAAATAGATCTTAAAAGGGATTTTACTTAGAGATGCCTATGTAATTCTTGATTATGATTGTTTCGAGATGGCTTGAAGATTTTGTTTTCATTTGCCTATAATAGATCTAAATTAACATTGTTTGATTATCATAATGATTGTATTTCGATCCAGTTAATCAAACCTAAAACCCAGTTAACTGCAGTGAATTAACAGCACAAAAAGAAATATCGCAAGACCCAATTAGAATTTAAAGTTGAAACAAAAAAATGCCTGAAAAGTGGAAAAACGTGATTGATAGCGAAAGCCGCCATCGCTTCAAGGATTGAACCTGATGGGCAGATAAATCACAAAGCACGAAGAAACGCAAACTCGTGCAATACCGATTTACCCAATCACAATCCCGCTTTTAAAATAAACCTCAGGCTCCCTGAGTTTAAGAATTCACCTCTCATCAATTTTAACTAAATCTTTGTTATGAGGAATTAATGTTACCTTTCGTAGATAGTTTTTTTAGTCATTTTTAAGCAGCTGTTGTCTCAAGTGATTATCAGCACCCACATATCCGAGTATTTCGTAAAAGTTCCAAGAGAGAAAACCTCCACAATAAACGCATTTTTCAGCACTGTACATGGTTGGATTATATATGTATCTCCATTATTGTATCTGCATGCTGTTCCCTGTATTTTCAATGCCTTTATTGACACCGTTTCTTTTCAAGTCGATAGTGAAATTTCACAATTTTTTTGTACTGTATCTGTACATTCCCCGGCTACCGTTATAAAATTATTTATCATAAAAATGTTTGTGTTTCCTGATAATTCTCCCCAGAAATTGCGCTTAATATTTTCCTATTGAGGTCTCACCCTCTTCTGGTGGAAGAACTCCTCTCGGTATACCTCTAAAGAAAATACGAAATACGCGTAATCAAGAACTTTTGAAAAGAACGATGGGTGCTCGAAAGGCAAAAGAGTTGTCGGCAACAAGCAAGAAATTATGTATACGTAGCGGAACGTTAAAGAACGCATGGAAACGAGTTGCTGAGAAATGTGATAGCAGCTCTATACTCAGCTTTTGCCCATCAACATTCTAAGGATACTAAAATCACGGTAAAAAAAGTGAAGCAGACACAAGTTTCTTACTTTTTTAACTTTAATAATTTTCTTAACTTTTATAAAGTTCGCCTCGATGTTGGGGCATATTATTACTTATAAAAAAAATGAAAATTCACCTATGATCATGGCGCGAATTTCAATTCCTCTGACAACCAATTTTTAAGAAATCCTGATTAGGAAACATTACATTTGAAATTTAAAATTGAATCTTCCAGTCTATAAATTATCTGCTGTTTAAAATTATGATAGCAATACATATAGAACCACTCCATAAGTTAATTACAATTTTTCTTCCAGCTCTTAAGCTTGAGCTCTTGAGCTGAGCCTGCAACCGAAGAGAAAGAGAATCTTCTCGATGGGGTTAACCGTTAGCCGTAAAACGAACAAAATATTTTTGCAGTTAGGCGTAAAAAATTGGCAAATTTTAAGCGCTAATAGTAAAAAAAAAATCAACCGCAGAAATTTTTCTATGACCGCAAAGGAATGATATCATCCGTAAACCGTAAAAGCCATCACCATATCAAGACTCTCACAGAGAAAAAGGGGCCAATCAGAACAGAAAGTGAAAACAAGCAAAGTGACTGGACAGTGTGACTGACTAACCTAGAACCAAATAACTGAACCTTTGATCCGTGTGCAATGTTCTTCACAACCTGCTTTAAATTGCGTGTGCACCAAAGAAAAAATAGGAAAATAGTCAATCTTAGTAGTTCGCTTGTTAGCAATAAAAACATAGGCAATCTATAAAAACTGGAATGGGGCAGCAACGATTTCCATGATCTACAAACCTAAAACTTGAACTAAATGACACCTAAAACAGTTATTTTTCTTCTTTTTTACTGACGGCTGAGAAGTTCAAGCCTGAGGTAGCATCGCATTTTAAAATGATTCCCCTAGTTATGTTTATTCCTCTGGATAAAAACTGAGGGTGTAAGTCGAGTTATATGTTGGTTTTTGGAGACATAAGGCTACAATGTATGTAAAGGAACTCTAGGGCTAAAATCTAAACAACCCCAGTTTTCCGCTGTTGTCCTCTTTCTTGTCCTCAGCCTGTTTTTCTGCTCGGACCGCCTCCTCTCGACCCCGATTGTTAAGTTCTTTCAGCATCTCTGACTGCTCTTTTAATAAGTCGTACAATTTGTCGGCTCTAGAAAAAAATCAAACCCGATGAGATATGTTGTTAAGAATCAGGTTGTGGCAGGCACGGTGAACACAAGGTTCGCACGGTGAACACAAGGTTTGCAAGCTGGACTGTGGATCTAGAGTTTCGGGTTCCGGACCTGGCTGGTTCATGGTGTTTTGTCTTAGGCATGTCTTAGGCAATTCACTTTATTGTCACAATGTCCCTCACTACCAAGGAACACAAATTAGTTCAGGGGAACTTTCAGGAAGCCCTGACATAATGCTAACGGGTCCTCGATGGACTAGCACGTCATTAAAGAGAATTAGACATACTCCTTTTCGCTGATAACAATAGAGGTCGGAGAACAGTACTGTTATTCATGGGTAATACAGCTTAACTTCAGCTATCATGTCGCAGAAGATTGAGGGGCCCCATCGTCCTTTTTCTATAATCTAGGCGGATTCTTCCCATTTTCTTTTCCTTTCCTATCATTGAGTTTGAGTTATATACCGAGTACTTTCGATAGTATTAATTAATCACAATAGACTATAGCATCAATGTTACCTATTTTGGACAGGTAAATTCTTTGATTATGCGAATAACTTATATCAAGACAATAAATGAATGCCAGGGTTGAAGGAGAAGGCAACGAAAATAAAGTTCTTATCCACAGTAATTATTACTTTTATATGCAGAGAGAGAAGGACCTCAAAAACAAAAGGTACAATATAAAACCGCCGAGAGCCCATTTACTTTTATCTAAGTTATGACGGGTGTAGAATTTTTACATGTGATATATCTCAAAGTGCTTTTAATGAAAAGTACTAAAGTTAATGCTTACAATTTCTAAGAAGATGTTGAATGGAAAATTAGGTAAGACTACTGTGATGTTACAAGCCACTTCATATTCACTTCGCATTCACCTTGCAGGACGATGGCATTCATTTCAGTTCATAACAAATGAGATGACAAACCTTTGCTCTTGTTCGTCCAGTCTTCCAATGATCGCCACCATTCCCGGCGACAGCTTCTCTTCTTCTTCCACTTCAGTAGACTCGGGCTTGCCAAAAGAAATAAGGGCATCCACCAACTAAGAAAGAAAAACACTTTTGTCTCAGATGCTTTTCATATAGAATGCGAGTATACATATACTTTTAGAAGCCTTACTTTTTAGCATTTTTCTGACAGGTTAATTATTTTTCATGTTTCTTTGTTAATTGGTTTTTGAAAATTTCCAGTTTTAATTATTATGACAAAATTCAAGAATTCTTCTCATGCAGTGTACCACCTTAGCAGCACTGCACCCAAGAGTTAATGCCTTCAGTGTTCACTCGAAGAATCAGTCACTCTAAAACGGGGCTCACCATTTCCTGAGTAGGGGTTTGCTATCAGCATATCAAATCTTTTTTCTTTTGAAAAGTTTTGAAAAAATATCAGTTGTGATCAATTTTATTTTTCAAGGAATTCCAAACTGTTGGTAAAAAAAGTATAATTCATCCCTTTTGGCAGTTTCGTCACTAGTGAGATTTTTAGGTCTAATCATTTTAAAAGTTCGTTACCTTTTGTTTGAGTGTCTTGGAGTGGTTCGGGTATTCTGAATAGCTTGGCACTTGCACATGTTTAAGGATAAACATCGGCATAGAATTTTCAATGTCAAGTAGTAACTGAACCTAAAAATGATTTGAACATATATTACACAAGGGAAGGAAGAAACTGGTGACTTGCAACTGCGGGACTTGTTTCAATCGACCATAGATCAGCCTAGAAGGTGTGTAGATTTTCAGAGAAGTTTGATTTTTCCCAATATCCTCAATAATAAACATTTATTCACTGCATTTCGTTTGCAGTAAATGGTTTGAACCCGGGGGTAACATGTGAAGGTGTAGTCTGTAAACTTTGTAAACGTTTGTAAACGACTCATTCACGACATAAACATCACAAACGACCGAAAAAGAACGATCCAACTTACCGACAGACCGAAACAGACCAATCACGACCGACTTACGTCACTTGAGTCTTACAGCCAATAACATCACGGCAAAACCAACCGATCATTTCACACGAACTGAAATAAGTACATTCTACTGACAACAATCATTCACTTGACTCTGATGATGACTTCCGCACAGGTTGTCGTAACGTCAGTCACTACCACCGACAACAGTCCTTCTCAGGACTACACTCACCCGGACGATCAGACTACACCTTTGCATTTCGTTTTGATAAAAAGTGAGGTTGTTGAATGTTAATAGCTGTCAGTTCGAGGCTACGTCCTACTTACCTGTAAAACATAGCGATCCATCAAAGCATTCTGTTGGATTTTGTCGATATCACCAACAGCAAGACCAACCTGGCGAGTGACATCAAACACGTAGTCAAGACAACATACTGACTTTGAATGACTCAAGTATTATTTTCCGAAGAAGCTGTGAGTTGTGTTGTACCGACGGGTTCGTGAAATCACGAAAGAGTAAGGGGTACGAAGACATTGAGAAGGGATTTCATATTGCAGTCTTACAAACGATAAAACGTCTCATGACTCGTAATCGTAACTGAACAGTCAAAGCAGGCAGCCTTCATTTCAAGCATTCCGTCATGGGAAATAAAGTTGATTAGAGCGAGCCACCTTAGTTGAAATTAACCTTCTCATCATAAAAGTGAAAGAGCGTCTTTTTTCGAAAGTTGTTGACGCCGGCTATTCATCACAAAAATTGCCATCCAGAACTATAAAAAAAGGGATTGGGTGGTGACTGGTCATTTGGAAAACGTTAACCATTTCTTGAAAAGCTTCTAAAACATACCAACATATTCATCATGATAATAGGCATCCCGAGAACCAGAATAACGAACAGAACATTCGTTAGCGTTGGGAAAGCTAATTCATCCCAGGGCAAGAATTCATCGTGGTAGTTGAGTTCTCCAAGTGTCATAACATACATTGACATCAAGGCATATCCAAAAGTGTTGAAGTGCTCCTAACATTAGAATAAATAAATATCAGACCTAAAAATGAGTAAATAAATCCTAAGATCCGTATACGTAGTAGTGCGTCTAAATCTCTACTCACAAACAATGAGTATCATGGAATTTTCAGCTTTAGATATAATTTTATTTCTATTGTTCCAATTTGCTCACTCAATCCTGGTTATCAGCTCATATAATCGTCGGCTTACATGATAAATAATTCACCCTAGTGTTCTTAAGCTGACTTAAGTTTTGGTTGGAGGCTAACGCTTCTCCCATGAAAATGGAGATTAACTAAAACAAAGAGAAGTCAATGTCATCTCGAAAACAAAAGCCAAAGCCACAAAATACGATGTCACTTAATGGTACGGATCTTTAAAGTTTCATGTAATTAATTTTGCTGTAGACAGTAAGGTTTTTTGGTCTAAAAAAGTAAAACGATGTCACAGCAGAAAGAACAGCCGGTTAACTTCAAAAATTCAGGATAACCTGAAAATTTTGCCGTGTAACAAATAATTAGAAAATGATAATCCTTACGCTTATTCCTGTGATGAGAACTCTATCAGTTAAGCAACTATCCAATCTAAGCTATAAGGTTTTTGTTTTAAAAGTTGAATTTATTTTCATTTCCTTTTCTTGGCTGATTTGCGATACACTCAACTTACTTTATCTACGATCAGAAAAAACGTGGTTCCAAATGCCATCATAAACAGCATCCACAACAGTAGAACCTGAAAAGATAAGAAAATCCAACAGATTTATCAGGAATCCGGGTATCGTTTTTTAATTAAAATCCTATGTAATATTCGGGTGACGGCGGCGTATTCACAGCAGGCACGGCGCCAACAATTAACCCCTGACGAAGAGTCCCCATCTTCCCTTATTCTGTGCAAGAGGTCAAGATCCAAAAAAAAATAATAAATAAGGAAATAGGAGAAGTCTCACCTCTAACCATGTTACTCTTGATTAGCGCCTTTTAATCGGCTTAGTTGGAACCATTGTCCCAGTGCAATTACTTTTTTAAACAGAAACAATTGTCTGCAAAGCTAAATACCTTGACAAGAGTCACAAACATTGTAGTGAGCATGATAACGTACTGACCATAAGATGACAACCTTAAAAGAGAAACAGGATTATTCACACTCTGTTATCATCGTGTAAGGAAGTACTCTATGTGTACGCTTCGGAATTAATATTCAAACAACTGTATATATGCGTTGTATGTGCTGGGTTTAGTTTGATCTTTAATTTAAAGTATATTTTCCTCTGTTTGCAGGCACGGTCATGTAAGAAAATTAGTTTTATTGTTTGTCGAAATAAAAGTTGGCAAAGAGAGTAATTTGAAATTTCCCAAACGCTATGGCTGGAGTATATGTTCCTGTTAGTCATGATATGGGGGATTTCCAAGGGTGTCTGAAAGATCAAGGTTGCCGTGTATCTGTTCAGTAATAGATCGCAGGTGACGTCAAACAGTAGTAAGAACAAAAAAGTGACACACAAGAGATGGGTGAGTGTGACACTAATATTCTTGTCACATAGCGATGTCTTCTGTGCTCTATTATTGTATCAATCTACGCGATCATAGAATCTACTTGTTTTATGATTTTAAAAAGCACAAGATTGTTAATGGCGACGTAAACTATGCTTCTGTCCTCCAATAGATCATAAATAAGAACCAATCAGTATGCGTGTAGAATTCAGTTTATCGTTTGATTACCTCCTGAAGTAAAGAATGAGATTCATCCAGGCAAAGAAGATAGCCACTGCTCCTACTTCCAGTTTATAGCCATACTTGCAATCACAAGTGGGGAAGATGTAAACGATGGACGCCACGTAGCATAGCCACTCCACGTAATTCAAGAAGTTTTTCAAATATGCAACACGCTGTTAATTGAAAGAAAAGAAAACTTAAGAATTTGTTCATGCTTAGCGTGCGTATATTGATTTATGGATGCACGCGGGAAGTTTGGAGAGCACGAAAAATGCGTAAGAGTAAGTCGAGTTGAGCTTTTTATCCACAGTTCTTGGGTAACTGGATCAAATGTTTTAAAAGTCAAAGACGCGTTAAAAATTGGGCAGTTCTTCGCTGGTTTCTGTCATATTTTAAAGAAAAGGAAAACTGCACTGCAGCTCAACAGGACGGCAGCGCTGCAGCCAGGTAAAAATAAAAGCTCACGCCACCTTATTTACGCACGGGCGTGCGTAATCAAAGATTTTGTCTATGGTGGCTCAATAGGACTTATATGAGGCAAGCGCGCGCGCTGTGTCATAATACTTCTTTTTTTTCTATAGGCATTCTACGTTTTCTCGTTTACGTCCTCTAACCAGGAAAAATCATGTAATGACTCCCTGAACGTGCGGAAAAATCTTCAAAATGATTTCAAAAAGAATTATCACCATTTACCTTGCGAACTAACGAGAAAATATGCTTTCCAATCAAAACCACACAAGCAATAAAAGCAAAAGTGCTTAGAACCTGTGTTACCTGTAATAAATGAAAAAAAAATTAAGAGTAAGTAGGACGCATACTTGTTAAGCAATTTAATTATTGAAAACTTAAAGTTCGAAGCACATTTGGTTTGTCTAGAGAGAGGGACTCTGACCAGTTTGTTTTCGTCCCAAGCTCGTAAGGGAGTGAATAACAACTTTCTTTAGAATGTAGTTTCTCACACGATGCTATACCAACAATTCCCTTTGCTTGCCGGTTAGAGGTCTAGGATGGGTCCATTCCCTCGCAGGCTGCACCGCTCCAGCTACAGAGCTTGCCCACGTGCCTCTTTCAATCGTACTCTGTACCAAAGGAAAATAATGTCCCATAATTTTCTCTTGTTTCCACTTAATCATTTCATAGAGTAATATCTGTGTGGAAAATTGATGACCCTTAGCTTTAAAGGGGCGCTGATTATCCAGAACGTTTTCCTTTGAACAATTAATTTAATCCAGCCTAAGTTGGTTAGATTATATTAAACCGGCGGAACAGATTATTTTCCCATGTTTTTATAAAAGGGCAAAAAGGACCATACAAAACACAACGGTAACGCTGACTATTTTTAAAGGAAAGCGTCCCTACCGCATCTGAAGTTGTGCATGTCTCCTGCAAAAAAAAAAAGAGAAGTAAATAGAAAGACAATCAAGCACTAATAACAATGTATGTAAAATTTTCGTTTCGTTTGTGTGGCTTCCAAACCATTCACTCAGATATGCGCACTTATCACATCCAGGGGTTAGGATCATTGCCTAGGGAAACGAAGCGGGGGGCAGAGGTTATGTGACTTACCCTGGGGTAAACCTAAACGAAGCGGGGGGCAGAGGTTATGTGACTTACCCTGAGGTAAACCTAAACGATGCGGGGGGGCAGAGGTTATGTGACTTACCCTGAGGTAAACCTAAATTGAATTCGGAGAAAAGCGCTTCTCGACTGGAGGAGAGTGTGTCGCGTGCCCCCTTGAAACCGCCCCCAATTTGTATGCCAGCCAGGGTAGAGAAAATATATTTTTGCAGTTATTGTTCTATTTTTCTATTTGTTCCCCTAGAAAATGGAGGTTCTCGGGAAACAAATCACCATTTCCCTTGGAGAAATTCATTTAGTACTTAATGAAAGTAAAAAAGATCAATAATTCCTACTGGCAAAGGCAAATGAGCACTCAAACCACCCTGTCATTTCGCCTTCAACTTTAGATTCGTTTTCTTTATTGCGCCAAAAAAAAAAAAACATACATCATAACCAGAATCAGTTGAATTGTCTTTCTTGCAAAGGATATCTTCATTAGCGCGATCGTACACCGTCAAAGCAGTTAACGGAATCAAAAACAAGAAGTACGAGGCAAGGTTCAAACCAAATGTCCACCAACCAAACTTTTTCCTGAAATATAAAGATGCGACCAAATATAAATTGCGATCACAAATATAAATTGCGATCACAAATATAAATTGCGACCACAAATATAAATTGCGATCACAAATATAAATTGCGATCACAAATATAAATTGCGATCAACTTAGAATTTGGATCCTCCGAGTCCTTACTCACCATTTCATATTCAGTAACATGAAACTGATGGGATGGGTGAGGCAACGTTCCCGTCGATATTCTGCCATTATCTTAAACAAAACAAACAGCAAACAGCAAATCAATGAAGTGAATCTTTTGTATGAATAAAAATGTTAGCTTTCAAAAGGAACCAATCGTTTTCTTTTTTGATCACAACCGCAAAAAGATAACCGAGTAAAGAACTGACTTGCAGTTTTTTAATCACTTTACGGCTTGAAACAATGGACAAGAGCTGGTAAATCTGAGAAACCTAAGATCAAGCCGATTGACTTAAATAAGGTATTAAGTCCATTTACCTTGATCAGTTGGAGGGATTTTTTATCAGATTTAAAAGGCTCTCCTGGGAACTGCCCTTGAACCAGGTTCAGATCATATTTCACCTAGGAGTAACAAGCAAGTTATTCGAAAACCATCACTATGAATTTGACCTATCGACTTGCCACCAGACTGCATTTATCTTAATATAACCATCCATCTATATTAGATATCTGTGCACATAATCTCAGTCATCGAACCACCAAGATGACCAAGTCCGTCTTGGAAATGAAATCGAAATTTTAATTCCAAATTGCTCCAAGGCGTGTTCGAGTCTGAGAGGGGAATCCTTCCAAGAGAATTGCTAAGTGGACTCACCATATAATTTTCCGATTCTGATTCACCCTTTTCCTCCACGCACCGATCAAGGAAGAACTACGGGATAAAGACAAAAATTGAGACTTCCAAGCATTTAACCAGTTCCGTGCTATTGGTGTTGATCTTTGTTCTTCCTGAGTCTCATCAAAAACAAATCACGGAATCCAGTTGAAAATCAAGCAAATCTATTTAAATATTAGGCACCTCACTAACTTTTCAAATGGCTAGTATTGGACAAGAACTTTAGTCACGTAATAATTTGCAGTATCTGTTCCCTTGCCTGTCATTATAACATCTTGATTAAACATAAGAGAACTCTTTATGACTGTTAAATTTTAAAACTCAGTAACGTTAACACTGACCACTTACCACAGCTACTTCGGGCATCTTACGGATCAACGTATCCATGATGGGAACCAAACCAGTGGTGGACTTAGAAAGCGCCTCTCGCCACCTAAAATAGAAGACATCACATTCTAAGCCTCAGTAGGGTACAGCGTCTCGTGTGGTTGATTTCTTTAAATACTGATCAGAGCCACCTATATTTTCTAGTGGCTTTGTATCCTGACCCTTTGCAAGGACTTGGTGATTAAAAGTCGTAAAATATTCTTTAAATTTAAATTATCTTGTATAAAGCAGAAGATCGGTTCACTCAGCAGTTTTGAAGGATAAACTTAAGTGTACTACATACTGTAGATCTTTAAACCAGTCTTTACGTTCTTATGAGGGCAACTTTTATAAGGTCTTAACTGAACCTTTCTTTTCGCCAGCCAGACAAATCTCAACGTACAGTTGCTGCTGCATAATAAGCTCCCGCATATATGAGAACTTGTCAATCAAACTAAAAGGAAGGATGGTAATATGAGAGAGAGCATAGAGCATTGTAGTACCTATCGTGTTTTGCAATTACCGCTGCAACTTCTTTTAGCTCCAAAGATACAGCTATGTCCACTACACTTTGATTATATCCATTCTTCAAAATGGAAGCTTTTTCATGTGACAGAAAAAATTCCATTACTGCTGGATGATTGTTGATAGCTGCCAAGTGCATGGCTGTATTCTGCAAATAAGAGTTAGTGAAGGAAAAAAAAAAGTGAAATCACTCAAAGTCGGCTTCCTGGCTAATGTATTTAAGAAATTTTCTCGGTTTTGGAATCTTGAACTCGCAAGAAAAGCTCCTTCCCTAAGATGGAACAACGATCATTATGGAATACCTCAGCGCGACTACAGAATATTCTCAAGGGGTCGCCACTCACATGCGATGTTTTACAGTAGTTAAGAATGCGTGTTTTACGGAAATGACTTGCAAAATGACACCGGCCTGGTTAGTGATAACCTTTCTAACCATTGCATAACCACATCTCTATCCTTTTTATCTGTTCAGGCGTCCAAGCTAGCTAGGGGTTATAAAGCAATATTCTTCTATCATCAAATAAAATCAAGCGAGCGCCTGAAGTTTTTAACTAACTCTAAAATAGGTTCATTTATAAAATTTTTTTCAAAATCAAGAACCTTGTTTTTATCCACGTCATTGATGCTTTCCTCACTTTTTTGGACAAGGACCTGACAGCAAAGTAGGGATCCTTTGGTGGCGGCTAAATGAAGCGGGGTCCTCTCAAGCTGATCTCTGAAACAAAAACTGAAGTTAGGGCTGTCATGCTGATTTTAGCGTCAAGTCTTTTTAATTTTGTTCGTAAGAAACGAACGCTCTTTAGAACTCTTTGCCTGAACATGGTATGATGCAGGTATGCACTTATGGCACGTCTTTCACTTTATCGTTTATTCACTCCTGGTTCCTAAAAGCTGATGACACTTTTAAACTAAAAAATTTCGTGGTAAAAAATACGTATGTTGGATGAAGACTTTGCCAGGGTCTTGCCCAAGAACGAAAAAAGGCGATCCAGCTTAGTTAAGGTGTTGATGATTCTCTTACTTTTCTATTGTAGCACCGAGTCTTAAGAGTGTCTCCACTGTGTGGTCATGTCCCTCTGAACAAGCAAAGTGAAGAGCTGTTTTTCCTTGACTGTTGCGCAAATTGATGATTTTCACATTCTGATTGTCCATAAGAGCCACTACAACGTCTTTCCAACCGTATCTGTTAAAGAAATTAAAAGCCCGGCTTGAATGCGATAAACAGAAAAATTCTCGAAGTATAATTGTTAAAATAGAGAGAGAGCTCTCACGCAGTGGAAGATCGTGAGCAGATAACGAGAGAAAGGTAATCTTCGATGCGACACCGTAGAAATTGACGAAATTTCAGACAAAAAAAGACAGTTTTGAATCTTTGTCACACCGTGAAACTTCCGTCAGCTCTAATTATGACTCTCGCTTAGGTCGTCAGAGCGTCAGTCGGTACAACCAACAACTTTCCTTCTCAAGACTACCCTCGCCCGCACGATCAGACAGCATGATTAGGGCACAAACATATGTGACCTGGGTAACACGTGTTTTATGACAAGAACGACGCGCGTTTGAAATCATGCGAGTCTCTAGTTTCTCTTATTTGTCCATAATGGCACATCAGACCAGGCGCTACGTGTCAAATTTCGAAAAATTGTGTCATTCTTCTCATTTTACTTTTCCATCCATTGCAATCGCAGATTGGAGATTACATTGTGCCAATGAAGCCTTGGATATTTCCTGCCTAATCCATATCTTTTTCCAAGAGATACTTCTAGATACTCAAAACATGATTAGTTCCTCTTTTAAGAACTCAACTTTTTACATTCTCCCAAACTGGAAATGTTCGATTTAAGTTATCAATGAATTCAAGTCCTACCTGGAAGCTACATGGATTGGAGTGTCCAAGCTGTTAGATAGAACACTAGGAGATGTTCGGTTTTTGTTTGCAAACAACCTGATATTCTGTTAGAGAATTAAATATAAAAACTGGTAACTCAACATGCTGAACCTTTTTTGATGTTAAGTTTACATGTTGAATGTTTCTAGCTACTGAAACGCGTGAAAATCGAACCTTCAAGTCCCCTGATTTGGCCGCGTAGTGAACTGGTGAAAAACCATCCTCGTCTTTCTCTGTGATGAGTGCAGCAGCTGTTGGACTCTGTGTACAGCAATTTCGATTACTGATTAACGGGAAAGAAATCAAATTATAAGGATATCGAACAGGAAATTTCTCCCCACGCTGGTTTAATCTAGTGTGTAATAACTATTCCACTTAGGGGAAAGACTTAGAGGGTAGAGATTTCGAAGGTCCTTTTAAACCTCCCTCGACAAAATAAGTTGATGCAGATATTGGGATTCGATATATACTGACTCTGCAATGACACAGACAGTACCAAAGGACGCGGCCTGAAATCCAGACGAGGATAAATTTAATTCACTGCAGGCCCAGTGATAGCATAATGTCAATTTTTTTTCACACTAGGAAAGAGCCTAGCCTTAACTTCTGAGGTACTGGTTTCAGGTGAATCTAGTTTATCATAGTCTGAAGCAAAGTTTGACTAACAGATATCTAAGATGTAAGACTTAAAAGCTTTCCTCAACCACCATAATGATCAACAACAAAAAGCAGAAACAAGGTAGGCGAAATCGAAATCGTCCAAAGACAAGTGAAAGAAAATGCGAGTAAAAACCTGCATTTAATAGAGCTGCAACCTTTACCTGTAACAAAGCTTCCATAGACTTCACATCTCCCACAGCAGCATGGAGTACTGACTTAAGCATTGTGTCCCGCACGGTGACATCGGCTCCACGATCCATCAGAAGCTTCACCACATTATGTGCCCCATAATTTGCGGCCCGAAACAAAGGTGAACGCCGCTCGTCATCCTTTGGGTCTACAGCTGCTTCCTAAATAGGGTCGAGCTACTGTATTAAAGATCTGGGCCAACTTTTTCAAAGGACAGATGACGCTATCTAATAGATAAATCGCTATCCAGCGGATAACTTTTAACAAAACATACTTCGCTATCCACCGGATAGTATTTTATCGAGTAGATAGCGTTACACACCCTTTGAACTACCAGGGCCTGGGTTGTGCATGGCAGAGAACCCTTGACGTACAAACCAACGAAATTTTTCACGCTTTCAAGAGAACAAATTAAAAGTGGAAGACTCTAGTGCAAGCAAAATTATACAGGCTGGATATAATCCGGATAATCGATTTTTATCTTCAGTTCTGAAATTGTAACTTTAATGTGAAAGCCAGCCCTCAGGAGCGCTAGTAGCTCATACTGGTTATGGTACGCGTTAATAGGCCTCCGAAAATATTGGCAGCATCACATGTTCCGCTGAGTGAGCTTTCAAGCTAGCTCAGTGGAAACCATTACATGAAGCTGAGCTAGAGTAAAAATTGAAGTAAGGAGTTAACCTTCGCCAAGGTACATGGAGGAGGTTTGTGCTTAAGAAACCGTAATTTGGTACTCAAGGTCGTTTCGCTCCCAGTCGTTACGTACCCGGCTAGGTCGCTTCGCACCCAGTCAGTTGAGTCGTTTCATACCCAGCTCGATCGTTTCGCACCCAAACTAATAAAGTATGTTTTCCACGTTAACAAAGGGAGAAAAAATATCCCACACACACGAGCTGCTATTATTTAAAATGTCACAGGTGTAACCAATTGACATTTCTCTTAAAAAAAATATCACACTTACTTTACGTTAGGCAATAATTAAGTTGTTTTTGCTAAGAAAGTCACAAATATACACAACAGGATTGTGTATCTTACTTGCTTGACTCTACTAATTAGCAATTGGTTCATGCTTTAGCGTGCACTATTGAGTTATGGAGCACGCGGGAAGTTTGGAGAGCACGAAAGAAGCGTAAGAGTTGCCCGAGGCAAT